AATATTTAGATTTGGCCAGTCAATATTCACAAGCACGACCGGACCAGATTATATAAATATAAATAACGATAATGAACCCAACTCACCAGATGCGGATCCAAAGCCAAGTCTAGGACCAGATCCAAAACCGAGTCCAGAACCAAAGTCAGAACCAGAATCAGGCCCAGAGCTAGGTCCAGAACCAAGCCCGGAACCCGGTCCAGAGACAGGTCCAGAACCAGGCCTAGAACCAAGCCCAGAGTCAGGTCCAGAGCCAGACCCAGAACCAAGCCCAAAAACTGATCCAGAACCCGATTCACAACCCAGTTCAGAACCCGCTCCAGAATCCGCTCTAAAACTAGGCCCAGAAGCAGATCTAGAATCTAATTCAGAACTAGGCTCAAATTCAGGCTCTGAGCTAAGGCCAAAACCAGGCCCACTGCCTGAAGCTTTAAAAAAACAAGTAAATGATCGACTGAAACTTCCACTACATTCTGGTGGTCTTCCATCTCGTCATCATATAACTAACATTATGCCTCTAACGGGTGCTATAGATATACGTCAACACTTATTTATAAAGGATTTACAAGACTTGGGCTATTTAGAGCAACACGAAGAGGGTTACAATAATGTTCCGCCAGATAACATTTTTGTTAATAATTTTTATAAATTTAATCATCAACGTTTTGCGCTTGAACCGCAAACTAAAGCAACACAAAAAATAAACCTAAAACGAATAAATAATTATGTAACTCCTAAGCATAACGCATTGAGACAACTTGATGAAGAACAGAAAAATGATCAAGGAGTTACTTCGGAACTTACTTGGCCAACATTTGGAAAAAAGGAAACAAAAAATCAAAGTCCAGAAATTGATTGGGAGAATTTTGATGAAGAAAAATTGTTTATAAAATAATAATGGATAAACAAATTTGGACATTAGAATAGCATAAGTTAGTAAGTTACATTTGGGTACTGTAAATAATAAAATTACCTAAATTATTTTGTTCCTTGACTAATGTCACTGTAAAAAACACCTTATTTCCGAAAGCCACGGGTTTCATCAATCTTGAAATTAAGAAATATAATTGTCGGTCAAGGTATAAAAATACCAACGTCTCCCGATAAACCGAAGATGTTAGTCAAGCGTTATTTTATTACTGACCAATTAAAATCAATCCATTGATCTACTAGCCTCTACTGCTACATTTTATTTTCAAGCTTTACGTAAATGCTTATTAAAGAAAAAAGTAATATGTGATAAAAAAAACTAAAGTTCTAAGCCCATTAAAAATTTTCGACTATACTTAAGGCGAAGTAGAAAAAGAACATTGTGAACATAAAAAATCTCAGGGCAAACCGATTTCATGAGTAGAATAGACAAGTATTTTTTTTCAAAGCAAGGCCTCTTAATTATCTAAAATGTCTTTTGTTGTTTACACACAATATTATTTTCTTATAACGATTCCATAATCAAAAATGTATGAAACATGCAATGACACATATTTAATGCAACAGAAATTGTAAAAGATGAATATACACTTTAAAATAAATTAAATAAATATTATTTAAATAAACATTAATATACATTTAAAATGAATCCAACGTATTTTTCGCAACAACTGAATTGAACGTTATGAAAGAAAAATCACTGTTATCACAAATCATCATAAAGTTTATGCTGAAAGTTATATTGAAATAGGTTTTTTTTTTCGGTTTCCCGCACAAAAATAAATTACATATATATATATTTATAATGTTAGTACATTCACTCTCACTAATCTTTATTTCAGAACCGAGATGTAAGTACGGAAATGATTTTCGGAATTCTAGTTTTTTCCGTAGCACTTGTACTTTCTTTTTGTCAGGATTATGAAAACTATTACAGTAACCGGTACACTAATAACGTACTCCTTGCTGACCTGAGAAGAAGAGATAGTATACCTCTTCATGATATTAACAGACATAGAAGTAAAGATGAGGTTTACAGTTTTCGAAAATCTAGGAAATTTAAAAACTTTCATCCAGGAAATTACGAGGTAAGTTTTTTATTCTCGATTTCATAGGTTTTTCGATTGCTACACATTGGAAATGAAACTATTGTTTTCCGGGTTTATATCTGTCTCTCGTTTGAAACGACAAATTTGTGTAATTTTAAATCCAAAAAAATTTCATTTTTTATTCTCCCTATAACGTAGTTTCTTATTTAAAATTTATTGGAACATATATATTAAACTCATATATGTCATCGAAAACTTTGTGGGTCTTATTTGGTACAAAGTTATTACGGATAAATTATCTTCACTTTTAATGTAATTATTAAAGAGACCTTTAAAACTATATATATGACTACATTCGAAGTAGTTTTTCTAAGTGTTGATTTCATTGTGATTTATTTTAGCCCAAACCGACAATGCGAACCTTGTTGGATTAATAACTCTTGTTTGTGTCAATCGAGGTTTTTAATTTTGTTCGAGTCTTGCTCAGGTTGTATTCAGCTACAAAAACACACCCCATATCTTCCCGTGAGTTCGTAAAACTTACTGATTTAAAGAACTATCAATTCACAATAAAAAAGGTACCAATACCGACCCCTGTTGTAATTTTCGTGACAAACGGATTTGTGTATGTTAATTGTTTATTTTTGGAAAAAAATGTATTTTTTGCAAAAATTTGCTTAAACTGGAAACACCTTAGTTAAAGACTGACAATACCACGGGAAGGTATGCGTAGGTTTTATTCTCATTAATACAGCTTTTTTCATTTATAAATTATCTTTATGACTAAATTTATTTTTGAAACTCAGACTCATGTGGTATACTGGAGGAATTTAAAGCCCGTCGGGAGTTCTTATCAAGAAAGGTATTTAAACAAACATGTTGAATAACATTGGTGTACCTGTTTTTTAGATTATTATAATAAGACTGCACATTACACTTTGTTTATTTTACGTTTGCTTGTTTTGTAATTGGTATGCAATGAAATTTAACGTCAAACGTATTATCATACTTTACGTTCAAACGTTATCAAACTGGAAGTATTAGTTCGTTGGTTGCATACAAGGCAGAGTAATGGTTACTTATCCCAAAACCAAAATTTTTATAATTGAAACACAACTTTTGTTCTTTGACTTTCAAATTCGCAGCTTTTCAACTGTCATACAAATCAGCCACCTATTCTCTCGATTTGTAATCTTTCAGATTCAGATCAAAGAGATACCGCAGTGTTTCGGTTTAATTATAGGGCTGTCTAATTCCTTGTTGACGAATCCTTTAGCTTTTACTGAGATACTAAGCCAACGTAGCGAACCCATTCGTGGCTAGTGCTTCTAGCGTATTAGAAACCAATATTAATTGAAGTAAATACGGCTAGGTGCCAATTGGTACACCAATGCTATCTACTACGCTTATTTTCTCTCCTGATGAATGTAAAAGTCACCCAGTTTATTCGTTTAAGGTAATTGACATTATTGAGAACATCCAACCGCTGGAAAGTAAGAAATATGGCGAAATCGGTTGGATATCACTACAAACAAATTCACGAGAATGTAATGCAATTAAGATATTAAATTCAAGGAGATGAACATATAAAACTGCAATATTGCAATGTACTGGTTTTTATTTAATCTATGTTTTTGGTAACTTATTTTATTATGTATTTTAAATATATGGTCACCGAGTTTCTAATTATTACTCTCTGTGTTGTGGGATAAAATGGTAGTGCTGCGTTCCAAATTCTCTTCTGTAAAATTGCGTTGTTACCAGAAACCAATAAAACATTGAAACAAACACGATTTGTTATTTATAAATCGTTTTTTAATACGACTTCGAGGTAATTTCTTCATTTATAATTTTATTTAAAAAATATAGACGCAAAGGGGAGTGTTTATAATAAAATTAATGTCGTATAAACAAAAACATGATTTGTTTTCTTTTGTAGTAGTAAAATGCTATCAAACGCGGTTTATAGGTTTAGATGAAATTTTGGTTAATTGTTTTTTACGGAAGAATGATAATTCTATTACGTTTCATCAATATCAGTATGCAAATTGTTATTATCTAAAAAAGAAACGACTGTCTTATAGCTTGCTGTGTAGCACTTCATACATTCATCTATGTTACGTAAAAATGGTGAAATAATGTTCCTTACAATTATTCTGAGCCAAATACTTGCAGTATTTTGTCAGCGAGATAAGAATATCGAAATTGAATTGCAATATGACATTGATGGTGGTTTTGAAGATTTGAAAATTAGAAATGTTAGACCTCTTCCGCGAGATATTCCCGAAGATTATGAGGCACCAAAAGTGGTTCCTGCTGAAACCGTTAATCGTGATAAGCACGGTTATACGAATAACGTTGGAAAGTTTCCTTACAGGAGGATGAATGTAAGTACAGATTAGCACATTATTATACAATTCAGTAACTTTAATCGCGTTAATGATCCGATTTTGTTTTTATAATGTGATTTTGCTAGTACAGTTATTATGAAACTAGAATGCTTTTGACCCACAAATAAAAAAAAATGTAATGAATATCAACCAATGTAGTGTTGTTATGGAACAAACAGAAGTAATTGAGGCAGTATTTAGTAACAGAAAAATTGATGTAGCGACGAATTTCCTATTTCAGATGAATGAAAATCCATCAATAGGTCAGTCACCAGTATTTGTTTCAAACATAGAGAGGATTAATAATAGTGCATCAAAGTTATTGCAAATTTTGGAAGAAATAAGTGAGTTTCGGCAAGAATTGCTAGCAGAAGCTCAAAAACGTATCAGGTGAGGGCCTTTCATAGCGGTTTCATAAATTAATTTCCCAAACTAAAAACCGTAAATATACAATTTTGAAAACCTATTTTGAAAATATGACTGTGCCATATAGGTTAAACAGATTAGAAAATCTCTTGAAATTATTATATTTATTGATTGCTTAAATTAACTTTTCATATTTTGTTAAACCATATATGTTACTAATACTGCTTCAAATAACTTACAGTCCCTAAAATGAGGAGCATACTTGGTTAAATTTAATTTTTGTATTTTTGTCAATAGTATAGGGGTACAAGCAAACAATCTATTAATATAGAACAATCGGAATTGGGCTTGAAACCACGACAGGTAGAACCTTTGTATGAATTTCGAAGAATGACTGGCAATAACAAGAACGTAAACGGTATAAATTTTAGAAAAACAGTGGAAATAAGAGGAATAAAGAATTATAATGCGACCATGGTAAGTGCCTAAGGATAAGGTGGTAATATTGTTAACAATTCCTTGTTAATAAATAACTTTACAGTTGTAAAAAAATCTTTTGTCTCTTCCTGACCCTTAAGTATAATGCTAATAATTGTGTTTTTGGAAAGTCTTGAAGAATTAGGAAATAGAGAAGTATGTCTGAATAGACTCACAAAGTTTTAAAAAATAATAACAACAACACAAACAACAACTATTAACATCAGCACAGTTTCTGTGGATAAATCATAAACTAACAGTAGCGATCGTCATACTGTTGCATCAAATATTATTTTACTGTTACATGCTTTCATTAAATAATAATAATGCTGGAAATTCTATGCTACAAATTGAAAGTAGAATTATCAATTGACTAATCATTTACTATCACTAATGAATTGAACACTTTAACAAAACAAAAACTGACATACAACATTGTACAGTGAGAATGGTATCTTTTATGTTACAGAACACAAACGATTGGGTAAGCTTATTGCCTATAGAACGTAGAAAAAAGAACCTTCAACCAACAACTTTACCACCACAAGACCGTGATAGAAAAGCTGCATCAGAAGTTTATAAGTTTCTTAAGGTCAGTTTAGCGATGCCTAGAAAAAAGGAAATAGCTCCATTAAATGTACAAATTCCGAGAAAGATTTCAATAATAACAAAAGAAAATAAAAATAACAATGCAGAGTTACTGAAGCTAAGCAAAGAGACACATTTGTTAGCAACGGATCTTGAACATGAATCCAAGCCACTTTCTACGCTATCGAAAAAGGGCAATAATTTTATGTCACTGAAATCCGACGAGAACAAGACAAAAACACTAATTGATATAGTTAAAGCAATCGAGTTAATAACATCACAAAATGCGAAAGACGCTTTATCCCAATTGAGTGCGCTTAGTCTTGACTCTCAGACCAACACTTCAGTATATATAAAAACTCCGACAAAATCATCAGAATTAAAATTTCCATCAGAGTATCTTAAAGGTTCTAACTTGACAGACCGAGAAAAACAACTTGAGTTAGAGTTAAAGAAAATTCGCAAAGAGATAAACTTGTTCACACCAGAAAAAGATCAGAAATTGTCAACACTAGACATATTCAGTGCTTCCGTAAGACCTACGATAAATGTATCTCCATTCTCATATGAATATAGTAATCCAACAACAACGGAAACAACAAAAACATTGTTAACAACAACTAAAGTCGCAGCAATAGCACAATTCGACTTTAATAATATTATGAAGTATAGAGAAGCATATTTGAAACTTGAAAATAGAAGTGAGACAGAAGCACATGGAATACATGAAGAAAAGTCCATAAATGATACAGAAGGCAGCGAAGTGTCTTTAACAGCGACGCGTAAAACAAATATTTTTCCTGATTCATTGAATTTAGGTAGAAATTTTTTAACATTACCTGAAAGAAATAAGCAAATATCAACTGAAGCTCAAATTGATTTCAATGTACGTGAAAAACAATCAAACTCGGTATTGGAGCGGTTAAACAAATTATTAAATCTAAGTTTATTACAACGTTTGGCAGAAACTAAGCAAGAAGTGCCTAGTAAAGTAGTACATCAGACTGCTGTAACAAATTTTGTCACGTCTCGTTTGACAAGAAAAAGGTCAAATAGGCCTAAATTTACGCCCAGAACAAACAGAATGCAAAGATTACGCAAACTACGTGTTCATCGTAAGCATACAACAAAGAATCGTAAATTAATTAAGGAATCTGATATAGACACATTTCGGAAACAACTTCGAATGGAATATGATAGTTTCGAATAATTTGTAATTGTTTAACTACATTTGTAAACGTATGTAGGTAAATAAATTTATTTGAGAGCTTTTTGAGAGACTTACAGTATACAGTATTATGTACATGTATGTATTATATTACAGTATTATATAGCGCGCTTGGACGGCTTCGACGCAGTTTGGCGATAGAAAACTGCCTCGAGTTGAACAGAATGCGCGGGAGCTGTCTGAAAGCGATAGCTGATAGGCTTGATATCCCGATAACTCGTACAGATACCAATATAATATTTTTTTTAGTATGTTAGATAAGCTCTGATATTCTAAAAAAATAGTATTATAAGATATTTTTAATATCATGGTCATTGGTATTAGGGTGTGTATGCGCTGCTGTAGTCAACTTCTAATCTTGTCCTTTTTTATTCTGTTATCTGCCTTTAATAAGCGCTATGTAACACTGGGTGAAATGAAGGGTTTTATTTTTACGTTTAAATATCCATACGTGTATTTGTATGGACGACTGTTACATTCAAAAATTGCCGTGTGAATGATTCGATAAAATTTGCAAAAAAAACATTGTTAATACTAAACGTCAGGTGACAACGGCGTTGCTCCAGCAGCTTCCTCGATGTTAGATATTATAAGTTACGTTACCAAATAAAAATGAAATGCTGGAATTATCGCGTAACATACATACAAAAAAACATACAGAATTATATACGTATATCTATAGATACACGTACCACTGGCTTATATACGTATATCTATAGATATACGTAAATAAGCCCTTTTGTGGTTTACAGTGATTTCGAGAAGTAAATCACGAGATGTTTGAGTTTTATTTATGAGGATGATTTATGAGCACGTCCTCTCGTTTGGTGAATTTTGCTATTGAAGGAAAAAGGAATTCAAAAACGATTCAAAATTTTAAAAGTAAGTGACCAGGTACCAGTGAAGAGGGTGATAAAAAGGTGGAATAAAGTTGATGATCAGCATTGTCACAACCTTAAGCTGTAATTGTAAACTGCGCTACGCAATGAAGCTCTTTTTATTTAGCTCTCATTCGTGGATATAAATTTTATAGAGTCTGGCGGTAGTGGAATATGGTGTTATTTATGATAGTACATTATCGTAAGGAAAATAGCATATTTACAACTTAAATTTCCGATGTGTTCGATGAGTTAGGGCGCGTTCCCATTATGTCGTAACGTTTTATTTACCGTTGGACGACAGTCGCATCTAGCCTGTTCCCATATCACAACTATCTATTGTGACTGTGTCGTGAACGTTTATTTTATCGTTAAACGACTGTTGTTGAGACAGCTAGACAGCTGTTCCCACGAGATCGCGACGACAATTTATCGGTTCACGGCAGCCGCCTCGTCGTTTACACGACAAAATGTTTGAAGCTGCGATTATCTGCCGTCACATTTTTATCGTGACGTTTTATTTATCTTTCTACCTCTTCCCATTGTCACGACAGTCTGTCATCGTAACGTCAAAAAAGTCGTGAACGACAATTAATTGTGTTGTTCTATGTGTGAACAACTTCATTTAAATATACAGGCCACGACACAAAACTATCTGTCGTCACGACATAATGGGAACGCACCCCTAACCATAATCATAGATTAGTACTTAATGGATAAACAAACTGAAAATTAATTTATTCAGTAATTACTATAAGCCGGGTCTTTACTCCAAATATTTGCTTATCGTCAAACTTGAATTGCGGCGTTTTGCATAAGATCTCGATTTTGGACAAAATCGATATTAAAATGGGAGTTTATTAAGCAATTTGCTTCAGTCCGGGTTTTCTTCGCGTCTGTGTGTAAATTATCTATTTACCTTGACTCATTGAACTGTATAATCATGATTCATTTACGTAGGAATCAGAAATTAAATTTTCCACTTAACTGTTTAAACATTTAATTTTTATTAGTTCTTTCGTTTGGCAAATTTCTAACACAAGTGTGGCGATAGTTAAGGCAAGTCACTGGAGGAGAAGCGGCGAAAACTGTTTTGCTAGATTGTTTAGGTATTTACTATTAAATAATGGTCTTATATAAAAAATACAATTCGCCTAGGTACTTTACTCCATCATGTAAAATCCGAAAAACAGCCTAAACTAACTATTTAAGAATGAAATATGTAACTTTGCACATAATCTTTATATGGAGATGTTTCTCTTTAAATACCGACTACTATGACCAGCTGCCCTGCTCGATGGCAACTGATTGCCATCGAGCGCTCGTCGATGTCGGATCTGTGTCAAATTCTCTCTGCCTGTTCTTATTTTATTCATATTAATTTTGAACGTGCGGGTTGCGAAACGCTAGGGGCGACCTATCACACCTCACCTCCTAAATTCTAGGCTCGCGTTGAATTTTAGAATAAAACTATATAAAATCTATGCCTTACTATCTCAACCTCGTATCTTATAAAGAGTAATTATTCATGAGATGGCAAAACTTTCTATTTATTTTAAATTTGTTATCAAGGGGGTTAATTTGGATGCATTACTTTAAGAATAAGTAAAAGTTAGTATGTGAATATGAAGAAAATGTGAATATGAAATCAGCTTGCAAAATTTGTACAATCCATTTTTAGCATTCCAGTAACTTTGAAAAATTGAAAAAATATATTTAATTTTGGATGCGTTCTAGTGGTGTAAATTCACATAAAAAATAATTGAATATCAATTCAATATAAATTCAAATACAATAAATAGCGACATCTCTAGCCAGGGGGGGTAGCTCTGAAGGTATCTAACTGAGTGATGAAATTCTTAAGATTACTCATAGATGGCGTTACGGCTAAAAGTCGTTCAAAAAATCAAATACAAACACGACAAGAAACACAGAAAAATTCGTGAGGTCCGCTGGTTCGTTCCGTGACTTAGTTGGTATAGCGTCTGTCACGGTATGCTAGAAGACTTCGGTTCGAATTCGACCGGATCGAAGGATTTTTTTCTGAGTGTTCGATCTTTGTATTAATAATTATAAGAAAGTAGTGGAGTAAATTCAATAAAAATCTTAAGAAAAAGTTTATCTTCAGATCTTCAGATGAGTTCTGAATTTGCATCTAATCAATTTTTTATTCTTGCTTGTACTTATAATTTTGTGTGATTATTGAAATTAATTTAGTTATTATTATTAAAATAATAGTAGAAAAAGTATTGTATGCAATAATTATATATAATTAGCGCCTAACATCTCGTATCTATTCTTTTTTATAAACACGGTACCTTTAGGTAACTCATTAAGTAACGTTTTTGGTCTTTCATTAGAGTGCGTAATCTTAAAGTAATTTTTACACTGGACGATGTCGGATCAATTTATTTTAGTGGGCTCGCTCATGAATTTTCATTGCATGTACTTTGTTATTAAGTGGAAAAAATGTTTCAACAGAAAGATTAGAGTAAAAAAGATTGTTTACAGAGTTTGATATTGTTTACAACGGTACCTATAATGGAACACTAGTAATAACCTCAAAGATTATTTAATCCATAAGTAAATTAAATTTACACTTGAAAACGTCACATTTAAACTACTGCTCGTACACTACGCTGACCTCTCTGAGAAGAACGAGCAAGAAACTCTAGGGATTGCTCTTTTCAAATAAACTTGAATGCTATGGAATACACTCTGAACCAAATTGTGTGGATTCTGGAGCCGTGTCGTCTTTCCATACATCTTTATCTAATACGTAGTCTTAAATTTTGTAACATGACTTTTCAATCAAAATATTTTTAATGTAGTTTTTAAACTTAGTTAATGATAATCTTAATATATGCTCCGGAATCTTATTGTAAAAACGTATACAGTTCCCGATAAAAGAGTCGTTTAAGGTAAACGAAATCGTACCATGAGTTTGGACTTAGCTCTAAGGTTAATATTATGGTTATCTTCTTTCTTATTGAAATTATGTATATTATTACGGGCATGTAAAATATTTGAGTAAATGTACCGTGATGCCACAGTCATGATACCATTCTCCTTAAACTTTTCGCTGAGAGAAACCCGAGAGCCGAGACGGTACACACTCAAAATAAAACACAAGGCATAATGGCATAAAATATATATTGATAAGGTGCATGGACATAAAGTTTCTTCTGACCGTCTCAATGAGACTCCGTATAGACAAGTAAGTACAGTAACTGAAAATATAAATATAGTGAATAAATAATGAAATATAGTGAATAGCACAACTTTTTTAAACTAATGTGAACGATATAAGAATGACATAAGGTTCTCAAAGACCTTCCAGCGGACGCACTCGGTCTTAAAGACCGCAGCGATCTTAGTTTAGCCATTTTATAAAAACTATAAACAATAGAGGTTGCGCGACCGTGATATACTTGAGGGGGTGAGGTACTTCCCTTAGTAACCCTTTGACATTCGTAGCACATGTCATTTGTGTTTGCGGTCTCAAATACCACGCGCGACCGGTCGTGTTCCAGGAAAATTTATGTAATGAAATTGAAACCTGGATGAGTATTTCATGTTATTTCTACTACATTACTTACAAATTACATTATTTTATGTAATAATTATATGTCGGAACCTTCATGGTTTAGACCTAAATCGTCAGACATGATTTGGGCAGATTTAGGGATCGAGCAATGCGATTACATTTTAATCACTTTGAAATCGAATAACAACTTGTACTTTCTATTAATTTTAACGGGCAAAAGGAAAGGAGGCCAGTTCCGTGACGATGACTACCCTGCATGGCGATCCGATCGAAAAGTGTGTTCGATGCGATCGTGCCCGCGAAAATGTCACAACTCTGTCGTAGCGCGGGAAACGTAGATGTGCGAACTACACCGCTAGGTGGCGCGCTTGCATTCCATTTAGCGTCCGTACTCAATACTGGCTCCGACATTAATGTAGACTATGAGTTATGGAGAATCAGAACGGCATGCAGCGGCATGTGGCATGAGACGGAAACTGAAGATGAAGATTTTGATGTTATCAAGTCATTAATAGGTACTGATAATGAGTAGGTTATCGTAGTACCTACTCTTAAAAAAAGTTAAAAGTTTTT